TCCTGTCATCCCATAGACAGAACAAGGCAGTAGGGAGTGAATCTATTTACCAGGATGTCTTTATATGTGAAGATTTCTTGCTGCTCTGTAAATGCTTATTTGCGTATTTATTCATAGATGGGGAAAGTACTTACTTGTCTTTCATTCTGCTTCCATATTGTAGCCCTAGCTGCAGGCACTTAGTACTGACGAAAAACAGGTGAATGCTGACCCTCAATTAAACCATAATAAATATGTTGCAGTAGCATCAAAAAAATACATTTGCTTGATCCAAAATGGAATGAGATCATGGTTAACATTTTTATCGCTGAGGGTTTACACATAAAGCCTGTTATGTTCACAAATTGAATGTATAGTATCCATTAGAACATATTATTCCATGCATCATTTTGCTTATTTCTTGGTGGCAAAGTTAATATCATTTGTGGTTAACTTTGAGTTTGTTTGGTTTCGCTCTAGTCAGTTATGCTTGCCAGGTGCAATCAAAATTTCTAATGTTTCTGTTCTGTCAGCAAGATGGTAAGTCAGTTCCATTTATTCAGCACCTGCTGTGTGCAGCACCCTGAAAATCTGGCTTTAAATCTTGAGCTACAAACTGAAATCAGATTAACAATGTCTACAGAATGTTTGCAGAGGCTTAATAGAAGGAAAAGCCAGAGACAGTGAGTTATGTTCCCTCAACCACTGGGCCATATAGAACAATAGGATTGTCTTAAAGACACAGCAGGATTTCATGCAAAGAAAGGACATAAAAGTAACAAGGACAGCATGTAATAGGGCTGTGTTCAAAATTTTTAAAAAATCATTTTCCGCTTACAGAAAAGTGGCAAGTAAAGTACAAAGAACTCACATGTCTCACTCCAATTCCCCAGCCAGATGTGCAGACCCCTGACCACCTGAGACCCATGACCACCTGAGGGCGAGCTGCGGACACCATGCCCATCAGCCCTCGCTTGTGTATTTCCCCAAACATGACGCTTCTAAGCACACCCAAGATGCAACTCTCCCAGTCAAGATATCAACCTTGACACACCACTGCTCTCAGGTCTGCAGACCCAGCACATTGCCCCGAGGTCCAGCATTGTTCTCTGTCCTTTGTGGTCAGGAACACAATTGCATGCAATTGGCACATCTCTTCAGTTTCCTTTCCCTGTCTCTGATGACCTTGGATGTTTAAGAAAGGCAGACCTGACATTTTATTGGAAGCCTTCAACCTGGGTCCCTGGATGCTTCCTTGTGACTCAGGTCACGTAGCCCTGACAGGAACATCGTGGAAATGTGTGCTTCTTGGTGCATCTCCCCAGGTGTCACCCTGCCTAGACTTGTCCCCACCCCGCTGATGTTAACACCTTCATCATTTGTTTGAATCGAGTGAAACCCGTTCCAGGTTTCTCTACCGCAGACTTACATTTTCCTTTCGAGATGGATTAGTACATTAAGTGCGTGTGGGGGGATAATCTAAATTTACACTGATACCCTGCACCCCACCAAACCTCAATTCTCATTCATTGTATTATTCACTTGATTCTTAAGTTATCCCAAATTTGGCCTATGGGATCTCCTTCAACACGGCTCCTGCGTCTTTCTGGCGCGGCCCCATCCATCTTTAAGCATGCCCTACTCTTTTGGTACAAGAAATCCAGACTCATACTGTCCCTGTGTCAATACTAGACTCAGTTTGTTTTTTTTCATGGAGCATGGTGTTTAGAAATCAGAAACTGAGTGTGTTGCTATTGGGGTGTTATTGCTTCTAAGCTTTCTTAGTTGCTATAGGTGGAACATATATATAAATACACATGCACACACCCCTGTAATTATTTCCTTATATATCTGTGAGTAGCTATACTACAAAATACTCAGTTCCAGTACCTCCAATTCCAAAGTAACAGGCCTAAGTTCTTTATTCCTTTTCATAATTATGAGCACAGCTGACCTTCGAACAACACAGGGGTTAGGAGTGTTGGTCCCTGAGTGTAACTTCAGTCAGCCTACCATCTCCATGAGTTCCATGTCCTTGGATTCAACCATTGAATCTGTGAATGTGGAACATTGGATAGAAAAATATAAGAGACTCTTGTAGTTCAAACCCATGCTGTTCAAGAGTCAACGATACATTCTCCAGTACTAAAATCCTGGCTGTCTTCGTCCTCCACCTACTTACCTACTAAGCCTGACTTACTTATTTCTCATTGTAACCTATCTTCCCCTCCTGGATGTCTGCACTACCTGCTGGTCCCTTTACCTTACCTATAGGCACTGGCAGGTACATTCTCTAGCATGCCAGCATGTTCCTTTGTGTGGCTTCCCAAGGTCCCCCTGCATCATGGGTGCTGGTGGGCACCCCACCTGTGTGCTCCTTCATAGTCCTCTTCTTCCACAGGATGATTGCAATGCAATTCCTCTCCATAGGAGGCAAGAGAAATTTTATTTATAATGTTGACCCCTGTACCCTCATGCCACCCAGAGGTGATGCTGGCACGTGAAGTGTAGCCCCCAGTAGCTGATAGCCTCTCAAAAGACTGGAGTAGGAAGTAACATAAATTAGAGATAATTATCAACTATAAAATTGATGGTGTCCTTCCCATAAACTCTTCTAATAACTTTAGCTATACACACTTTTGAAGGTGAGTGAGAGCCCAGAACATAACTAATCACAGGTATTTCCTGGGATAACTTATGTTTTCCTTTGGAATCCATCATGAATGTGATTTTTGGCTGCCGACTCACCATTTCCAGTGTTTCATTTGGCTGGATCAGCTTGCATTGTCTGAGGACTTTTCACCCGACAGTGGGAGGTTACACTTTAAAGCAGGGTGGGTGACAGAGGTCGGTCAGACTGGATTTCGAACATCATTGTGAGCAATCGAAGACTCATACTTAATGGTACAGCTGATAATCAGTTCATTTGGACAAGTCCTGTGTGCCAGCACGGGGCTGAATGCTTTGTATAGATGGTCTCATTTAATCCTCAGAAAACTGTATGAAGTAGATATTATTATCATTACTATTTCTACACATTAGGAAACTGAAGATAAAAATGGTTGAGTCATTTAAAGGTCAGACAGCTAGAGATGGCAGAGTTAAGATATAAACTGAGGATCGCAACTCATTTTTGCCACTGCCTATGACTTAATTGATATGTTATTTTAAATCACATAAGGTAAAAACTCTTTGAGGTTTTGATATCATATAGCAAAAAATAAGTAGATAAAAAAATTAATGACAATAAATCAAAAAATATTAAGGGCCTCCCTGGTGGCTTAAGGGTTGAATCTCAGCACTATCACCTCTAATGCCTGAGTTCAATTCCCAGCCAGGGCGTTAACCCACATATGGTGCAGCAGACCTCTCCTGTCTAGCCTGCTGCTCCCCTCAGCAGTGTATTTCAGTAGATCCCCCAGTTCTGTTCCCCACTCTGTCTCTGGTGACTCCGCTCACCACTCCCACCTGTGGCCTACATCTCAGCTCTATACAAAAAGAAAAAAGAAAAAAAAATTGAAGCATAAAGCTTGGTGTTATGGAGCAGATCCCTTGGGGGTTGTCTCAGGAGACCTGCCAGGCCAAGCTCCACTGTACATTACAAGTGCGTTATCTGAAATAGCTCCAGCTGTCATTTTGAAGAAGGTGGCACAGATTGAGAAACTGGCAGGCACTTGTGACTTGGCCTCAGACGGAAGTAGATGATCCTTTCTGAATGATTCCTTGGCAAATTCTTTTAGCCAATTTCTGGCTGTTGGTCCCAATGCATACAAGTTGATGGGGCAGTGTCTCAGCTGAATCCCCAGAGACACACAGCTCTGCTGTCCAGGATGCCTGGTGCCTGCCCTTCCTCTGCCCAAGTACCTGTCTTGGGAGCACCCAGTAAGAGAGAAGGGCCACAGCCAGGGGACACTGTGATGAATGCTCACCTCTGCTTGTGTGTGATGAAAGGTTTTGTTTGACATGTTTTCAAAAAGACAAGCTTGTTGAAAACAGCATTTTAAGTTAAAATTAATTCTCAGGGAAATAGCCTACTTTGAAAATAGCCAGCAGGGCTATAGAAATGTAGAAGAGTTTTTGTGATTTAGAGGAGAAATCTCTAAAATGTCTTCTCATTGTGGCCAAAGTAGAAAATGATACTGTTTGCATTGCACACCTGGGTGAGTTGATGGAGCTCAGTGGCCAGGGGTGACTGCTGGGATGTCAGAAGCTGGGGTCTGCCTATGAGCCAAGGAGAGAGGGAATCGAGGCTTCCCCTCATCTGCCTGGCATACACAGCAGGAGGGAAGCTCTGAGGGATGACCTTTGCAATCCCAGTTCTTACATTTTGGGAAAAAAAAAAATATACGGGAAGCTTTCCAGTTCTTAGGTGTTTGATTATGAAGACAAGTTGTCATCTGTGGGAATTTCAATTTCTGTATTTTCTTTTTTTTTAAATAAAAATTGTCTGATAGTGATTCTATATTCATACCTTGTTTTAGGAGACTTGAAGTCATTTAAAAAATAATAGGGCCCCTCCTTTGTATCATTAGTGGCTCTATGGTTATCTATCACATGATAGACTTTGAACAGTGCTTCTAGGACTGCTGAGGCTGGTTCTGTCTCAGGGGCAATTTATAAGGAAACTTTCTTCAAATCAACACTTGGACACTGATTTTTTTCCAACTGATTATTTACTACTCTTCAAAATCAGTGGGCTTTTCTCCAAATCATCATATGGTTTTACAAATAGTATTATGTATCTTTGCATGTGGCGATCCTGATTTTGACCCTCATATGAATACATAAATAATAATCTTTGTAGTAGTAGAACAAAAGGTAGGAAGGTGATACTGTCAGTCAGAAGACAGAAGAGTCTTCACGGCACCAACGGAGAGACAGAAGTACTGGCTTAGAAACCAGTCACCTTTGCATTATGCCTTTAAGGTGAATATTCACTGGTAGTGGGACTAAGAGACACGGGATTTATCTATTTCGAGTTTCATCTTCTTCATTCCTCTCTCTTCGTTTTGGGCTTCCAGCTGAGATGTTAAAACAAAAATTAGAAGAATTGGAGAAAGAGAAAAGTGACCTGCAATTTCAGCTTCCTTCCAGGCAGCCGGCCCTTCGCAGCCTCCTGCACCAGCTGGGAGCACAGGCCCAGGCTGCCTTGCATCGGGCTCTGCAGTAAGTACTTGGGGTGGATCCCTCTGTCCCTGCTCAGCTCTCTTCCTCTTTGGGTTCCCATGTTGCAAAGACCTGGGGAGAGCTTAGCTGGAAAGACCTCAGCAGCTTATTCCTGGAAGCGCTCCCTTTGCTGGTTGGGCAGGAGGGGGTTTCTTCCAGAGTGAGGTTCCAGAGTGGGTCATGCACCTTTCTGTTAATTGACAAGGAGAGTCCCTTGACAAACACAGGGCTGGTGTTAAGTGTCTCCTGGAGGCAACCTTCTGAGAAGGTGGGGTGGATTTCCTCTTGTCATGGGCAGCGTGGTCATGTTGAGTCTGTGAGAGCCACAGGCGGTCCCCACTTACTGAGGGATGAAAATGTACTTCCCCGAACTCTCCCTCCAGCTCCTGAGCAACTGTCACTCTTTCTACTACCCCAGGGTCTCCTGAGATAGGTCATACATGTAGAGAGAGCAGCCACTACTTCTAACCCAGTGGCTCTTAGACCTGGCTGTCCATTTGAGTCATCTGGAGTTTTAAAGTATGCAAGTTCCATCCAGACCAATCAAGTCAGGGTCCCATTGCTGGCATGTTTGAAAAGGGGGCCACTGCACTCACCTCCTGCTTGTTACCTCTCTTCCTGGGAAAGGCTGGAGAGGGAACAAGTTTGTGAGCCTATTCACAATTCAGGCCCTGACAGTCACAGATCATCTGGCCTATCCTTAGTAAGTGTACATGGCATTGTAATTCAGTTTACCTTGGTATCTCCCCATGGCCTGTCTTAACAGTGAGGGCAATTGTTTTCTTCTGTTTGGCTGGTAGCGGGTAGCAGAATGTCTCCTGATTTTTCACACGGTCTCCTGAAAGAGCAGGAGAATGCCATCTCCCCATTGCTGTTCTTTTGTCATATGAACATTGTGTTATCACCTCATTTCTGCGCCCTTTCTCAGTGGGCCCTTCCCGACTCAGTTTTCTAGTTAACTCTTCCTTCCTTTTGGTCTTTAGGGCTATATCTTGTCATCCACCGCGATCTTGGGCTGTTTTAGAGGAGGGCCATGGTTGCAGTTCTCACAGTAGCCACCAGGGGGACACTGTGTCAGCCCAGCGCTCACATAACCCAGCGCCTGGACAAAAAGGTTTATTACAGGCTAGCGGCTCTCTCCTAGTACAGGAAATAGCATACTTTCTAACGAATGGTCCTTTTCCTGTGAAAACAAAATAGTTGCATTGATATGGCAAATTTTCAATACCAATTAGTAACACAAATAATTGCCTCTTAACCTTTTTTGGATCAAGTGTTTCTTTGAGAATCTGATGAAAGCTGTGGACTTCTATCACGAAGCCACATATGCCTGAACACACAAATGGCTGTGTGCTGGTCCAGGAGACTTGCAGATCTCTGAGGCTAATCCATTCATTTTGTGGAGTGTCTTTGGGTCTCAGGTTAAGGGAATTTGGTTCAGGATAAAACTTAAAGAAATGTAAACATTCCTGCACAACTAGGTTCTTTATTTCCCACTTTTTTAAAATACCTATCTAATTTAGCTTTTTTTTTTTTTTGAAGAAAGCACTGTATAATTCTCTGAACTTGCATAGAATAAAAGTGAGGCACACTTGATTTGTTGAGGTCCTTCCAGCAGTCCAGAGAGTTCTACCTGTTACTTTCAGGGATTGACTGGCTCGTCCAATAGTAGATACTAGTACTCAGGTGGGCAGGTGGGCACCTCCACCCTCTGTTTCTGGTCCCTCACCACTCAGTGATATAATGGGTTTGCTGGGGTATCTACTCAGTGTAGTTACAAAACAGCATGATTATCTTGGGCAGATGATGTATATGTCTGAGTCATTTTCAATTATGGATGAACATCCTCCAGTCTTGTCCAACCTGAACTTCAATGATATATCCTAACCTGTTCAATGTTTGTAATCCTTTCCTTATTGGTCATGGCTGATTCCCTGGTTTAACAGAGACTTGGGGACCCACTGTGTGTAGGTGTTTACATGCTCACTGTCTTGTGGGCCTCTGCTGGTTCCCCAGAGGGCAGCCTAGGGACTCCCCACTGCCTAGATCCTGATGTGAGTGTAGCCTCCTTCAACCTGACTGCACAAAAATGCATTTGGTCTATCATTCAGCCTTTTTAGGTGGGGTGTCTTCTCCCCAATGGGAGCACTTGTGGGGAGGATAACTTTTGTGATCCCCTTAATTCATGAGAAGCTCACAAATCCTTGCCATGCTGAATGTGGGCATTGAGGTCACCACCTTCCAGGCCCTCTCTGCCCCATGGTAGCTCTCCAGTCTCCTGACCCTGATTAAGGGAGGCGTGATCCTCAGAAAGTCCTTTGCATAGCACACGCTGCAGTGGACACATGGTGCCCTGTGTTCTGATCCCTTGGTATGATGTCCACTCCAGCTGTGGACAGTTCTGTGCACACTGACAGCTTTCTACCTCAGGCAGGCAACATATTTATTTGCGACAGAGCTGTCTTAGAAAGTTGTGAGAAAAAGGGTGAATAATGCCCTCCAGGGCAACCCTGGACCACTGGGGTGGGAATTGCCTCTGGTCTATCTAACCTTTAGAGGGACAGTTCAGAGGCTTGTTTCACACCTCCCTCCTCCACACTGAAGATTCCTAGTAGAATTGAGATCCAGTTGCCCATGTAGTGATGAGCTCAAGTGTGCATCTTTCATTGATTTCTTTCTCACTCCCTCACTTTTGTTTTTTGGAAATCACTTCTCCAAAAAATTGTCCAAACTCAAACCTTTGCCTCAGACTTTGCTGTTAAGGGAATCCAAATTAGGGATCCTTTTGGAGAATCAAATGTCAGGCTTCCTTCTTGCAAGGCACGCCCCATCTTTATGAGTGAGTCTAGTGGGTTTTTCTCTCCACTCCTTCCCCCTCCTCTCTCTCACTCCCTCTTTGCCCCTAAGTGGAACCTTGGGAAGAGGAAGGAAAAACATCTTTCTCAAAGACTCTGCTCCCCACATGGTCAGTAGAGTGTGTGTGGAGATGGTTGTTGATTGTGGTACCTTTGCTTACGCAGCCCCTGGGGTGAGGGCAACCTACCCCACTCTTAGAGATTTGGAATAGAGGGCATTTAGGCCTGTGTCCTTAGGCATTAGCTTCTAATTCTGGAGCAACTGGAAAATTCTACCTCAATATTCTCTCTTAGCGCTCATTAGAAGAGGACAGAGAGAAATCTATTCTGGCTGTATCTTTTACCTAGTTAAAAAAGTTATCTTTTCCTTTTTCCTAAGAGAGGGGTTTGGCCTGCTGTTATATATATGACTGATACTTTTTCTTATTAATACTTTACATATCTTTGATCATCAACCTATTTTTCCACAGGAACTTTCCCAAGGTGCATTAAAATAGGTGACATTTACAATCTAAAGTGTGTGTGTGTGTGCAAAGTGCCCTTTGTCAAAGACCCTTTCCCAATGGATTACTTGAAGCAAAATGAAAGAAAGTCTAAAAATAAGGACATGCAGTGGTTTTCCAATGGGGCTTATCAAGGCAGAGCTCATGCTTGCCTCTCCAAATAGCTCCTGCTCACACACTTCCTTTCTGATGGAAACAGAAGAGATAACAGAAGAGATGTTGTAGAACCCATGATGCTTCTGGAACTGAGTCCCTTTCCCCCGGATCAGTTCTTCCTTTATTCCCTTTGAGCTTGTGGTTCATTATTTCCACTTAATTGGCTTTTGGGGACCATTACACCACAGAATTCAGTGACAGTCAGCCCTAAGTTTGTAGATTGGAATGAAGATACAACTGCGTTAGATGAGAAAATGACTGCTACAGACACATTTTACCGGAGACATAAAACAAGATGGTTCCCATTATGGTACCTCATAAAAATGATCTGCATTACTAACATACCAGGATATATTTCTGAATCCCAAATCAGAGTTTGAGGTGGGGAACCAAATGGGCACAGGCTTGTGCCCCCTGTCCAGGAGACTGCCTCCTGATCCTTTTCACTGTCTTGAGAAGAGAAGGGAGGAAGTAATGAGGAGAGAAGTTGAAGTTGAAGTTGAAGTGAATGTGTATTAGATTTGGTGAATTATAAATAAAAGCCTCCAAGTAAAGGTATCCCAAGCCAAATTCACTCAAATTCACCTGAGTCTGTCATGAAGCAGGTGACTTATCTGGTCTCTCTCTGCCCTGTCCATATTCTCACTGCAATGCTTGTGAAGGCTCCTCCACTCCCCTACAAGCATAGGAAAGGCTATGGAGGGCTCTGGAGAGCTAGAGGCTGGCAGAAGAGGAGATGGTGACGTGGGCTCTTCACAGACTCACACTCACTGACTACCTGGCTCAGAAAATGTTGACACCCAGAAGGTGTCATTCTTTCATTCTTTTTCAATGCTACCGAACTATGCACATGTCAAAGTCACGTGGTGAATGTTATCTCTGGGATGAAAAATAACTTCCTGGGAAATTTGGAACTAAAATATTTTCAGTGGGATGGATCTTATTTGACAAATGGGTCTTACCTTTCTTTAAATGATTGGTGGAAAAGACAGAAGTTAAAAGGTCAGGATTACCCATCACTGGGCTGTCCCCATGCCCTGGGGAATCTGTAGGAAACCTTGGTTCTGAAAGTGGGGTCTCAGACACCCAAGTCCCCATGGGCACTAAGTGCTGTTCTAACATCTTAGCTCTCATATTTTTAATTCTGGCCCCTGAGGGATTTGCTCATTTTACATACTGATTAGTTTATAGCGCAATGCTAATTTACACTGACATTAGGGATTACACATTGAGAATTATTAAATATAAAAGGAACAACATTGTAGAAGGAGAGGGAGCAGGGCTCAGAGAACTGAAGATTTGAAAGATGGAAACCTGTCCTCTGCCTCGTTACTGAGCTACAGAGCATCCTGGGGCCATGGCTCAGTCACCTGTCAATGACTATCTATACCCAGAGTCAAAGTGCGGGAGACAGAGAGAGGAGTTTGGTTAATCACAGGGGCTTTTCTTATGGATTAAGTAATGAATGTGATTAATGATAATATAGAGAATTCCCAGTTACCCACTTGTAGCTCCTCTGTAGCTAATTTTCAATTCTATGTTGATTTCCTTCACTAACTCCCATCCTGACCCAGATGGTATCTATCTAGGAAATTCTGGAGACTCTTAATATTTGCATAAGCAGAGCAAATTGGGAAATAAATTAGTGCAAAAAATGATCTAATGCAATAGAAAGCTGAATATAAATGACTTCTGGATTTTCTAGGCCATGGGCTCATTCAGTCACTCAATACATATTTGCTAAGCCCCTACTCAGTGCAGGTGAGTGGGGGCAACAATATGAGATTGTCGGGTCCCTCTTCTTCCCAGGGTCATAGTCCCACTGAACAGGCTCAAATTCTGGAGTTCAGAAGTGTAAGCACATCCCATTCCCACAGTGGTCAGTAGCTGATGATTTCATTCTGGAGACTTCTTCTGACACATGTGAAGATCCTCAGAATCATTTCATTTTTAATCCTCATTCTCCCTATAGGACGTCATGCCCATTGGGCATGAGCGCCGTGTTCATTTTCCCAATGCAAATGTTGCAGGGCAGTAAATAGCAAGTTCTCTGAGGGCAGAGGTTTTCTGTCTCCTTCCCTTTAAGGACCCAGGGTGAGGAAGTGACCTGCACACTGCACTCAGTGGTCATTTTGGGGATAAATTTAGTCTCCATAATCAGCCATACGGGGAACAGGGCATCACCACCATCATCATGATCATCACCATGACCATTTTAATTAAAGATTTATTTTTATTTATTTATGCATACAAGAACTGGGGGGTAGACCAGCGCTGCAGGGGTTGAGAGGATTCACCAGAGACAGAGTAGAGGCAGAACAGGCAGATCTACTGAAATACACTGCTGAGGGGAGCAGCAGGCAAGACAGGAGAGGTCTGCTATGCCATGTGGGTTAGCTACCTGGCTGGGCATTGAATTCATGCTGCAGAGGCTGGTGATAGCTTGATAGTGCTGAGACTTTAACCCCTGGGCCACCAGGAAGGCCCCATTATCATGCCCATTTTAAAATTGAGGAAGTTAAAGTTCAGAAAGGCTAGATAAGACCAAGGACACATAACTAGAAAAATGTGAAGTAAGGCTGAAATGGTATCTTCTACCTCCAAATGCTGAATTTTCCACATCATTCTCAGTTGTTTGTGTAAATAGGGAGTGAGGGAACTTAATCAATGGATATGGGTGGCTTGAAGTCAGGGAGAAACCAAAGTTCAAAACCTTGATAGGAGGCTAATGGCATATGGTGTCCAGGAGAGGACTTGAAAGGGACAATCAGTTAACTTGAGGTGTCATTGACTCCTCAATTCTTCTTGCTCTCTGTGCAGTGAAGAGCAAGTCAATCCCCTCTTTCACCCTGTTGAAAAAACTAATGCAGATAGTCCTGCTTTTCAAAAGTTTGCCTTGTGTCATTTTTCTTGCAAGAAATATCGTTAGTACCTGACTAATGGAAACAAACCCCATGAAGATTTTTAGTTTTATAATAAAAGATTAAAAATGAGAACTGTGTTCAGCATCTGTTTTGCTGTAGCCATTTTAAAGGCAGCGGGTAATCTGAGTGTGGGTAATGGGCCCGCCAAGCTCCTTTGCTTGGAATTGCTTCCTTTAGGTGGTGGATTTATTACATCACTCCTGCTTTTTGTATGTATTAGTGTTATTTTAGGCTTGATGTGTCATTTGGTATGATTTTGTAAGTTAGTTTTTGGGTCTGGGAATGTCAACAAAATTTCCATAAATTTGAATGATAATTGCTTCTGGCTTTATGCCAGTTCAGCATAAAGGTTTCACAGGTACACTCTACTTTTGGAGAGTGGGGAAAGCCTATATAATCTCTTTATCTTAGGTCTGTTGCTGAGAAGTGAGTGCCATAAAAATGATGTCTTGTGTACAGTAAATTCTCAGTCCATATTAGTTTACTTTACTATTATCAGTTAACAAAAAAAAGCTGATTACTACTACTATTACTATTTGGTCTTAAATACATAAAACAGTGAGTAACAGGTCTTAAAATAAATTTCTAAAATTTCCTGGTGTGTTATAATAAGTAGGCAGTTTCCAAGATTATTCAGAGAATTTGAATCGGTGTTAGATCTAGGAATATAAGCAAAGCTCCTTCTTAGTAACTGCTGTTTTCTAGCTTAGCAAAGCTGAAATGACATTTTCTACCATTGTTTTTAAAAATACTAGGGCTGCTTCATTGTAGAGCTTCGTTGACTCACTCACTTACTCTATAAGTGCCACAATAAGATTTTGGGAGTGGGAGAGTCGTTTCCATCTTTCAGCTCCTACAGTAATTGGTTCAAACCTTGGGTTGAACATATATCCATGTCTTTTTATTTTCCTGTGTTTGTGCTGGTCTCTCTTGCTCTCTGTAGGCACCAAGTTTCTTTTACCGCTCAAGCCGTGGTAGGCAGGTTTAAGGCTTTTTCTTTTTCTGAATGAATGAAACAACCTGGGCGTAAGAGGAGGCAAACAAAGAATAAGACATATCGGGATTACTCATTTTCTTTTCTACACAATGTGGAGGGAGTGAGACCACCTTTGTGAATGTGCAACTAAGAACATGCAGCTTTGTGCTTCTGTTTGATGAGCCCCGAGTCGATGACCACGTGTCAGCTAAGTTCCACCTGTGTCAAAGGAGATTCCAGGGGAGGAGCTGACAGCTTTAATTCATGCTTCAGCTGCCAGAAGCTATAGATAGCTGCTTCTCTGCAGGGAAAATACCCTTGATCATTAACGTATGAATGAAATTTATTTCAGCACAGACACGTTTTGCGCAAGGACCACAACAGGTTGGCTTTAAAAATGATATGTAAATAAATAGCATAATTACTAGTATGTGTGGTAGACAACTTTTCTATTTCAGTTCTAAAAAAATACAGGTGCCTATGGAAAATGTAGAAAAGATTGACTTGTTCCACCACCCAGAGGGAAGAGCTGATAGTGTTTTGATGAATATTTTCCTACTTTTCATTTTATATACATGTTATTTTTAGAATAGTGGTTCACATTATACATAGTGCCATAATTCCTGCCCTTAAAATGTTTAATGGATATTTTCTTTGTGATTCTGTCTTCTTTGCTGACCTATTTTTAGTGGCTGCAGAGCCTTTGTTGGGGTGTCATGGTATATAGCTTTCATCTTCATTTGGGACCATAGTTATGGTATTTTCAGTCTTTGGCTACTAAGAAAAAATGTCATATCTTTGCAGTTAATCTTCATACATATCCATGATTATTTGCATACAAGGATGTCATAGAAGTGGGAATGTAGGTTCCAAAGTCATACTATAATGAAATTCTAATCTTCCTTACTCTCATCAAGGAATTCTGGCTTATGAAAGTTTTGCAGCCTGTTAGGTGAAAAATATTTTTGAGTTGTTTGAATGTGTACTTGAAAGCATTTTTGATGATGTGCATTTTCCTTAGCCCTCATTAAATCTTTTAAAAAAATTTGATTGATGTAATCATCTTTTTCTTCTTGGTTTAACTCCTGAAAGCAACAATATTTTCCCATTTCCAGACATGTATGCCGCAATCACTTTCCTGGCATGTTGTTTCCCTTTAAATTTTAGTTGATAGAGGTTTTTTTTTTTTTTTTTTTTTTTCCAGATATCTCTTCCTGGAATTGTTGACATTGTTCTGTTTAGGTTAAAGCTTTTTTTTTTCCTCCTGTCTATCTGCATTGAGTTACGAATCAAACACTTTAAGGATGAATTAGTCATCCTTTAATGATAAGTACCTCTAATACTTCTGCTTAAGTCACCAGTGTAAGGCTCCAGCTAGTGCCATATTTTACAAATTTTGCTTTAAGCAAATATCCCAACTCCTGTAAGAGTTAAGAAAAGAAGCCAAAGAAAGTTTAAGAGGTTTTCCATGGTCTTTCAGCAAACCTTTTCTGAGGATCTCTGACCCAATATATATAAATATACCATTAACCCACGTATCTGCTGATCATTGGTATCTTTTTCATCACAGCCAAGTTCAGCCCTGGATTTGGCTCTGTCTGCAGGGTCAAGTCAGCACTGTCCAGCAAAATATAATGCAAACCACACATGTGATTTTAAATGATCTAGTAGCCACATTAAAATAAAGAAAAAAAAATCAGTTGAAATTAATTAAAAATATGTATTTAATAGAACCCAAGCTATCAAAAATATGATCATTCCAACAGGTGATGACCACTAATGACATCCCTGAGGAGATGGTTTGCACACTTTGTTTTCATACTAAGTCTAGTCTGGGGTGTTTTTTTCACTTTCAGCAGAGGCAGCACATGTGGCTGAGGGCTGCGGTGCAGTGCAGACCCAATAATAGTGGTTTGGCCTTGGGAAGAAGCAAAGCCCTGAGAGAGTGTAATTAAAATAAAAACTTACATTAGGGACTTCACCCTTATGACTTTTCTAAGGATAAGACCATCCAGGGGCCACCTTGTGAGATTTCTTTCTCGGCATTCTGGTAGATCTAAGGATTTCAGCTTCAATGTATCTATACCAATATGTATGTTTTATGTTTTAAGGGTTGGCAGTGACAGCCCCCAAACCACACTCAGAACAGAGCTGAAGCCATTGGTGCCCACTGCTCAGGACCACCTGCATGTGGCCATCACCAGACGAGACTGGCTTCTTCAAGAAAAGCAGCAGTTGCAGGTATGCAGGTGAAGAATATTCTAGAAATAGGACAGCAATTTCCCCTTACTCATGTAGGCCAAATGCAGCAAAGTGGGTCTTTGCTTTGCTGGAGTGTGGCAATTAGAAGCCTGGCCATCCAACCGTGAAGTACAGAGAGGAGAGGTGGGTGGAGATAACCGGAGGGCTTTTAGGAATCTCATTACAAATGAGGGCTTGAAAACTCAGCAGCGCTGTGCCTGTTTCAGACATTCCTCATTAACTTTGGAACATGCTTTCCTTGTCTGCCAGGCCAATTTGTCACCTTTCATCATTTTGACCTTTAGAAGATTTTTTTTGGGAGATAGAAAGAAATCAGTGCCGTGAAGTCTTTTATGGAAATCCCTATCAAGTTAGGGCATCCGTTGAAGGGAGACAGAGCTGTAAGGACAGACTGGGCAGGCAGGAGGGGTTGGCACAGAGCTTTGGATGAAAGCGTGGACAAAAGATGCCCAAGAATCATCCAGGGCCTTGAAATCCAGATGCATCCCTGAGCTACAGCCAGGAGACATTCAGGAACATTGAGAGTTGATGGAATCCCCTACAGGTAGGGAACCTTGAAGATGTGTGCACACCTGCTTGAGTCTGGAGGCCTTGAGACAGGAATGGGGAGCCACATTTTAGAGGCAATGTGACTTCAGAAATAGCTGAGGGCTTTCAGACTGAGTTCAAATCCTGGTTAAGGCTTTAAATAGTTGAACAAAATTGGCAAGTTCAGGGGGGCTTGTAAACTTGCTCCTTCATCCTCACACCCCTTCACCCCCACCACCCCGTCATCCCCTGAGTTTTTCCAGTGAAGTTCCTATAATACCAAGGTGGCAAAAGGAAACAAAAGTCATGGACTTGCAAATTTATTGATTATTTCATTATTCCAACAGATTGAGCACTTACACATTCGATGAGCATCTTGTAAGGTTTGGAGGAATGAAAATGTGAAATCTGGTTTTTGGTTTTGAAAAATAGTCACCAATGAAAGGTCTACATTATTATTGATGAGCTCAGAGTGTACGGAAACTAATTTTAGCTCAGGGTACTTAGTGTTTGAAGGGAGTGTTCTTGGTAGAACTCTGGAAAGCTAGTCATTTATTCAGTGGGTGTTTATTGATTGCCTACTATGTGCCAGATGCTATATGAAATGGTCATGATGCCTGTGGAGTTTATGTGTGGCAGGAAAGTCAAAGGTGGAAGCAAGTAGGTTAGTTGGGAGATAATGTCAGCAATACAGATATTTTCTTCTTAGAGTGTCTTAGCTGTGGATCTTCAGTACCTCCTCATACTTCCTCCTCTGCCAAAAGTGGGATCAGTGAAAAGAAATTGTAGGTCATCTCTACCGTGGGGTTGAGAGAACACAGATAAGAGTTAGGGAGACACCCAGGTTTAGAACTGTGCTCTTATCAGCTAGAAACCAATGTGTGCAGCACTGGAGGATGTTAATTAAAAGAGTCCCATTTTAAATTCAGAACCCTATGGGCAGTGAGAGGATGACCTACTCTAACACCATACCCACAATGGGTATTCAATTACCTGTTGCTTATTTTATTAATTGACTTCAAGATTGGATGATACTCTATGGATTCTTTGGAGTTTGGTTTGTTATATTCATGGAAATTAAATTTATTTAATATTTTTATGAACTTTAGATTGTATAATGCTATCTGCAGCATCTCATTATTTGTTTAATGCTGTCATCTTAAGAAACTATGATTTTTGTAATCTTTATATACTAAATTTTCATTTAGGATTATCTGCCCTTTTTTTTTTCTCTATGCCTAGTGTTTCCTACTAGCTCCCATCTCACACATATACATGTTTGCTGTCCTTCCACATGAAATGGACTGAGTCACTTATACATTTGCTGGATTTTCCACATCAAATTTTGGCCACCCCTCCATAGTTATTTAATGCTTGGGAAGGGATGCTTGTTCTTATGCCAAATAATCAGAAATATAAAGTCGGCATGATTTTTCCAGTTCAGCAAATCTCCGAAAATCTGCCTGCTTCAGAAGCAGAACTTCATGGTTCTTGTGCATATGGCTGACTCTCACTTAAAGGACTCATTATCAGCAGAGATGTTTGCCACAAGCAGGGTTAATTTATAAGATCTGGTCTCTCCATTCTCTGCAGAGGGAAATTGAAGCCCTGCAAGCAAGAATGTCTGTGCTGGAAGCAAAAGATCACCGGCTGAGAAAGGAGATAGACGAGCTGGAGCAGCTCCTTCCATGGCAGGGCTGTGACTTGACACCCCTGGTGGGCAGGCTGTCCCTGGGCGAGCTGCAGGAGGTCAGCAAGGACTTGCAGGACACCCTGGCATTGGCCAATCAGATCCCCCTCCGTGCAGAACCACCTGAAACCATAAAGAGGTATCAGTGATTTCCTAACTATTTTGCCTGGCTCATCAATTCTACCTGTTTATAGCATTGCTTGTGTCTGTTGTCCCTCCTTTATAAATATTTTCCAAGTAGTGCTGTATTTTTTTTTTTTTCCCATGGAGCCACCATTGATATTCTGGACGGGAAGTCTTGAGCTTTGAAATATATTTTATGTCCTGACCACTCAACCTACTGATTTCCAGTATTACTGTCCACTTTAATGCATGCCCTCCCATTTCCAAACACCTCCAGGGACACCTTCTCTCCCTTTGAGATCTATTAGAGCTCAATTAGTTAGAGATTTTAATGTCAGCCTTTGCTTAGGAGGATCGTGTAGAGTGGATTAACAACTCTCATCATGGGGGAAGGGAAAACTATTAAAAACTGGAGACTCAATGGCAGTGTTTCCATCTGGAAGAATGGATTATTATCAATGATAGCTAAAATTTTTTGAGTACTGACTGTGTGCCAGGTGCTGCGCTAAACTTTACTCTGTGAAGAGCTTCTGTTATTTTATTTATTAGACAGATAAGGATAAGAAATTTTAGGAAGTTTAAAATTTGCCCAGAGTTCTCAATAAGAGGCAAAACTGATATTTAAACTTCTGTTCATTGATTCCAACCCTAGTTGTTTTCTTTTCTTATATCACTAAGGCGTGAGATTCTTCATTGTGTTATGAATCTTATTCTGGCGAAAACAGAACACACATTTACATATGTTAGACAAAAAAATGAGTAGTACCCCAATACGTATGCAGGAGGTAGTAGGCTCAAAAGTGCTATGGGTGTAGGGCCACGAGAAAGTTAATCATCTGCTTGGTTATTATGCTGAAGAAAATGCTTAGTAAAACTTACCACCCAGAGTGGTTGTGAATATGGACTCTGCCATCTTATTATCAGGAGATGAACCCTCACTCAACCCCTTATTAACTGGGAACCACTTTTTGTTTGGGTAAAGTAAACAATAAATTCATTTATTTTAAAGATTTATTTATTTATGCTTACAAGAACTGGGATACAGGCCAGAAGTGTGTGTGTGGGGGAGGGAGGTGAAAGGATTCACCAGAGACAGAGTGGGGAACAGAAAAGGCAGATGGAGCAGAGGTGAGACAGGAGAAGTCTGCTGTGCCATGTGGGTATCTCCCTGGCCAGGGATTGAACTCGTGCTGCAGTGGCTGAGGATAGCTTCATAGGGTGCATCTTAACCCCTTGTGCCACCAGGGAGGCCCAATAAATTCTTTATAGAGTTGTTATGTGGATGAACTGAGCTTTCTTAATTGTGTCTGGATGGGAGTAAACACTTGAATATGCTTACCTTGTTTTTATTATGGGGATTTCAGTCTCCCAAGAGCCCTCAAACTGCTGTCTAAATGTATCTTAGACTAGTGAGTGAATGTCTATCCCCACCTGTACATGATTCACATGTATCATTTATCTAGTCCATAAAAGCAAGCCGCAGATGATATTCTGTGAGGGATATCACAGAATATCCCTAAGGAGTTGCTGAGGATTTCCTTCTATTCCCTTTCTAGTGCTAATATATCCCTGTAGACATAACTCCATGGCTCATTACCATGGAACAAGGGAGGAAATTTGGCTTTTTGTCACATTTGGCATGACCAGAGGAACTCACCATTGGATATGTGTTGTACTATCCTCCCTGCATCTTCCTGTGCTTCCTTATCCTATCGCCTCAGCCTGTAAAAATCTTTCCTACTGCTGGGGGTCTCCCTGGTGGCGCAGGGGTTAGACAGCACTATCAAGCTATTGCCAGCCATTGCAGCACAATTTCGATCCCTGACCAGGGAGGAACCCACATGGCGCAGCAGACCTTTCTTGTCTCACCTGCTGTTCCCCTCAGCAGTGTATTTCAGTAGATCCTGTTCCCTGCTTTCTCTGGGAATCATCCACCCTCTGCACCTCTGGCTTACACCCCAGTTCTTATATGCATAAATAAATCTTAAAAAAAAAGAATCTTTCCTATTCTGCTTCCCTTGTTCTTCCATGGAAATCATTCTCTCTGTCTATACTTATACATATGTATAGGTATATAAAATATGTAGTTATACATTATGTATCACATGTGAATATACATAGGCACACATAATTATATATATCATATTATAGAGCATATGTATATATGTAATATGAATGATGGAATATACATGTAATTTTATTTTTATATTTATAAATACATAATTTTATACATCACCCTTAAAAATGAAGCTTTTTTGGTCTTGCCATCCAGATGTGTCCTACATATTTCTCCCTTTGCTCTTAATAGTCCAGAGGTTTGTCATACTCCTCTCATCTCTCCCACAAGTTGACAGAAAAAGGGAAAAAAAAAGTTTGAGGGAAAAAGCTAGGGCAGGCTTAACTTAGAATCCATTGCAGTATTTAACAAAGCCTCTATGTTTTGAGCTGAATATGAATTCATGCAGGGAAGTCTCCCTGCATGTGTGCCCTGTACCTGTACAGAGATGTACGGGTCGCAGAATGAGCTCTTCCTCACTGGCTGACTCGTAGCTTTCAGAGCAGCCTGGCATGGTAGGCAGGCGCTTCTTGTTATTTTCATTTTACAGTCAAGAAAACAAAACCCAGAAAGTTTCCCTGATGCAGCTACTAGGAGATCTTATGCACCATGATAGCTGTCTTTGGGTCTGAACTACTAAAAGATAGTTTCTGCTCACAGGTTCAGGGAAGTTATCTCTCTCTCTCTCTTTTTTTTAAAGATTTATTTATTTTTACGTACAAGAGCTGGGGTACAGACCAGCTAAGCGGGTGGTGAGGATTCACCTGAGACAGAATGGGGAACAGAATGGGCAGACTGACTGAAATACACTGCTGAAGGGAGCAGTGGGCGACTCAGTAGAGGTCTGCTGCGCCATGTGGGTAGCTCCCTGGCTGGGGATTGAACTTGTGCTGCAGAGGCTGCGGATTGCTTCATAGTGCAATGCTTAACCCCTTGTGCCACCAGAGAGGCCCTGAAGTTATCTCTTTTAATCTAGAACAAGGAACTTCATAAAAGATAGGCTGATAGAGGTGAGTCCCAGAGTCAGACCTTAGCATTTCTAGTCTGTTCTTTTGCCTATGCTCTGCAGCTTGCTTTATCCAGGCTAGAAGTTGGACAGAACAGGGAATGAATATGTGACTTGCCCAGCCCTCTAATCAGTTGAACAGGCTCTGGAAAGACTTTTCAGTTTGTGGCAATCCAATTTTATGATGCTGTCAGGGAGACTGAGTATGAGGATGCCTGTGGAATATAGTGCAGTGCTATGGCGGCTCTCTGGGGATGACCCATCATTCCCAAAGCCGAGGTAACAGAGTTCAGATCAAGACTCGGCTCTCATTTTCTGTGCTGAGATGATCATGGAAAACCTGGATAGCTCAACAGCTCAGACCTTGAGGTCTCTGTGTGGGAGGAAATCCAGGAATGTGAGGACTAGTTGTTGTATGGGAGAGGGATGAAGGGGAGATAGGGCAGTGCCTCAAAGATCAAAAAGAAACACACCTATCATGGCCTTCTCCTCCTGGTGAGGTTGTGGCTGGTGCATCCAGGCTGGGACCCTGGTTGTGAGAAAGCGCCACGAGTACTTTTCAGAGTTTTCTGTCTCTGGAGAGTGATCCCCTGGGACATCCTTGGAATCTGGATGACCTTGCAAGAGCTGACCCTTGGTCTCTCCTTTATTACTTGGTGATGCAGGGCAGCACATCACTGCCTTGGGACCATTTGGAGTGTACAGGCCGTTTTTTTGTGTTATAACTCTATGTCTAGTTTATTTATTTTTCAAATTATTTTTATTGAGGAAAAGTAGATACAGCTTTGTATCTGGTTGGGGGTTAAAGGTTCAAACCTCTACAAATGTATACTGCCCACCACCAGTGTCCAACAATCCTCCACCATGTTCTCCACTCCTTCTCTTCCCTTCTCTCTACTCACCTTCCTCCCCCTTCAGTTGCCTCAATTTTGCTGTCAGATGTTAACAGCTTATTATTGGTTTGGTTTCTCTGACCCTTTACTATGTTTCTCCATGTACCACATATAAGTGAGACCATCCTATATTTGTCTTTCTCTTTCTGACTTGTTTTGCTTAGCATAATCATCTCCAGGGTCATCCATGATCTTATAAATGAGAGGAGTTCACTCTTTTTTATAGCTGAATAGTATTCCATCGTGGATATATACCACGTTTTTCTGATCCTTGGGCACCTAAGCTATTTCCATAACTTAGCTATTGTAAGTGGGCTGCAATGAATATAGGAGTACATATATCCCTTCAAATTCGTGTTTTTGTATTCTTTGGGTAGTATGTAAGCTTTGACGAGTCAGCTTTCTTTCTTCCATCTAGGAAAGTTCATGGTGTTCCTTGCTAAAAACACCACTTAGAAAAGACCATCATTGTATTATGGGCTTTCCACTTCATAAGGAAGAAATACCTTTTCTAAACTAGTGGCTATGGTTCAGACTCCCAGAAATAGAGCATTTGAAAGAAGATTTTTAACTGATCAGACTTTTAACTAATTAGACTAGGTCAGTTAACTGAGCTTTTGCTGGGAGGTAGTGGCTGTCTTTTTAAAATGCTGACTGGGGGGAGGTGTATCCTGTGTATGCCCCCACCAGAAGAGTGCAACTCATATGCATCAGTAGCTGTCTTTGTTGCTTTTGAGACAAGGCTCATTTTAGGCCAGATGGAGAGATGCAGACATATTGTAAAACAGAACAATCTTGATGTCTTATGAAGAGAGGTTGTGGAGATTGGAATTATTTAAAAAATCTAGAGATATAAGACCACTCCACATCATCCACGAAGTTTTTATTGTGATCATCATCCACAAACTTTTTTATCGAGGACTGCTATAAACTCAGGGTTTAGTTTGGGGAGAAGCTGCTTTTGATTTATCCAGCTCGATAACATGTAATTTCAAGGGAACAAAGAATATGTTTCTCAGTCTGGAAAACCTATACACTGAGCTTGAAAAGCATCTTCCTAA